AGAACTTGGAAAGAGACTTTGGATATTTTAAGAAGACTGAACTTTTAAAGTGTTTGAAATTTTAAGGACTATGGGACCTTTAAAACTACTTACCCTTTATACTGTGCTATTAACATGCTGTCTTGGGGACAAACGAGAAAGGAAAGGTTCTAGTAGAATAGTGACGTGTCTTTGCATCATGCTGACAAGGAGTTAATTGTGCTTGCTAATTTTATGTCAACTTGACAAAAGCTAAGGTCATTTTGAAAGAGAGACTCTCAACTGAGGAAACTGGCCTGAAGGCAAGCCAATGGTGCATTTACTTGATTAATGATTAATATTGGAGGGCCTAAATAAGTATAGGTGGTGCCACCCCTGGGCTGGTGGTCCTGGGTACCAGAAAAAAAAAAAAGAAAAAACAGGCTGAGGAAGCCAGTAAACAGCACTCCTCTGCATCAGTCCCTGCTTCTAGGTTCCTGCCCCAACTTCCCCAGATGATGGACTACAAGATGTAAGCTGAAATAAACCATTTCCTCTCCAAATTGCTTTTGATTATAGAAATACTAAGACAACTGTGCCTGCTGATTCCAAGATAATTCATCCACTATCATAGCTATAACCATCACACTTTCACATGCATGCTGACGATTCACCAATGTATAGCTCCATTTCCGAGATTCTATCTTCCACAAGAATTTTCAACCCACTTGCCCACAAAGTGAACTCAATTCTCCTTGAAACTTGCTTCTTCGGAATTTTCCATCTCAGAGGATAATACATTAATGCCATAAAACAATGTGTCTTCATGTAATTCTTTACACTACGTGCCTCTCCATCTTGACCTCTAACATTAAATTATGACATTCTTTCCATTTCCCCTTATAATTATTTTGATTACATCTCTTCACAGTCACAACTTTGGTCACTAAAATAAACTTTGGTTATTTTATTTATAATTAATTAATTTGTTACTTCTATTAGTTTTCTCCCCATAAAGGTATCTTACAGAGTTGTCTTTCTAAATTAAAAAAAAAGTTATCATTTTTTCATCTGTGTTGTTTTAGTGTTTACTGCCCTTAGAACAAAGTAAAAATTCACCCATCTCTTCACAGTACATACTAAGCCATTCACAGTGCAAGGTAAAACCATGATTCCATCATTTGAGCTCTTGTACTCCCGATGCATTTGGTTTAAAAGCATTTTCCAAACCCATTCTGCATTAGCTTTTTATTGTTGTGGCCAACAGAATACAATACCTGACAGAAACAACTTAAAGGAAGAAACATTTATTTTGTCTCATGGTTTGGCCCCATGTGCTTGGTCAGAACATCATGGCCTGGGAGAATGTGTCAAAAGCATCGTGGCTCCATTAAGAACAGGAAGCAAAGAGAAGCCAGAAAGATGCCAGGAACAAGATAACACCACAGGCACACCTTTAGTGATCTACTTTGTCCAGCCAGGTTCCCCCTACTAAAGTTTGCAGAAAGCTCCCAAAATTGTGCCCCCAGCTGGGGATCCTAGCCCTCAGTCTGCCAGTCTTTTGGGAGGAACTGCATATTCAAACTTTAACAGCTCTTACTACTAGCTTCTATCCAAATTTCAAAACTCCAATTAGATCACCACCTCCAGAAAAGCTGTAGCTATACTTTCCGATCTGTGATGTTCACAGACAAGCCACCAGCCACATATAGCATACAGAGCACCTGAAATGTGTCTACTCTAAATCTAGATGTTAAATGAAAAACACACACCAGATTGTAAAGACTCAGTAATAATAATAATAAAAGAATATATAATAGCTTAGTAATAATTTTATATTGGTTGCATGTTAAAGAATATTTGGATGCATTTATTAAGTTAAACTTAACATACTGATGGGATGTTAATTCTAGCCTCTTACAAACTTTCAACCTATCTGTAGGAAACTCAAAACTACACACAGATTGCCCTGTATTCCACCTGGCCAACACCTAGGCTAAAGTTCTGTCAATGTTCTCTAGTTTCTTGTACTATTTATCTTTGGAAATTACTTCTGACAGACTACAAGCAGCTTATGAACAAAACTGACTCTACCTGGGAATTCCAGAAGTAAGGGTGCAAAAATAAATATTCAATAAATATATAAATAACAATTTAATTAAGTACTCAATCCTCACTATTTGGGGATTCCAATTTGTCGATTTGCATATGCACACAAAAGAAAACTCACTAGTGATCTCCTAACCAATCTATGTGCTTTCTAGGCTATTTGTGAACGTGTAGAGATTTGACCAGACATTGACCTGCCCACATTTTCCTAGCTAAGGTCAAGTACAGCACTGTTCTCTTTTATGGTTTCAACTATCAAATTGCATGTAAGCGTTCTTTTCCTCTATTTACTACTTTTTTAGCTTTGTTTTCTGTTTTGCATTTTATGCCTTCTGCTTAAAATGCCCCCCAAATATCATGCTGAAAAGTTCTCTGCTGTTCCTATGCACAAGACTGTGTTATGTCAAATAGAGATGACAGGTGTGTAGATAAAATACCAGGTTTGAATTATAGTGCTGTTTGCCACACACCCACTGTTAACCATACATATGAAATAATTTGTCTTTTACAGAAATGAACATGACAGAATTTCCCATTAACAGAGAAAATGTGACTACATGAACCAATGAGGAACCAAATGCTATAATTCTCCTAGAAACAAGGGCTTGCAATGTGCTACTTCAGTGTTCTAGAGATCAGGAGAAAGCACTGTATTTGTTGAATTAAACAGTCATTTGATTCTACATATCTTATGTGAATATGTGAATACGGTGGTAGACAAAGCAGTAATTTCAATTTGTAATTCTCTTAATGACTTACAAGCTACATGATTTGGGGCAAATTGCTTCATTTTCCCTATCTTTTCCCATAATTCAAAATGCAGATAAAAGAATGCTAATGGTTGCCAAGGTCTGGCTGGGTGTGAGTCGGGGGTGAAAAACAGGGCTGATGACACAAAGGCATAGAAAATTTTGGAATGAGGGAAATATTTACTATCTTGATTATGGGAATGATTATATAATTGACTTCCTTTTTCAAAATTCATGGAACTACAAGTAAACTTCATTTTATATAAATTCTAACTTTAATCTTAGTTTTAGAAAACATTAGTAGTCAAGATGAGACAGTACATTGCCTATGTAATTCTTAATTAAATATTAGCAGCAATAGTAATAGGGAAAGGTTAGGCAGCATAAGGAAAAGCAGAGGAGACTCAATAGCCTCGGGTTCTAATTGGGATCTTTCACATATTGACAAGAGGCAGAGTTTACTTTATGGAAGCCCTGTGCTTACTGAGCCTAAACAACCCAAGAGAATTGTGTTCTGCATATATGTATACATGAATATGAGACTGGATTGACTTTCAAGGCAGCAATACCAAGTAACTGAACGACGTGAGCTGGGTTGTGGAGTGAGAAGTTACCTAGATTCTCTGTGAGGTAAGAGAAATGCAGCTATGATGAGACTCAAAGGGAAGCAGCCCTCTGAAGAATCTTTGTCTTTAAACATTAACCACAAACGACAGCAAAAAACCAAACTCTGGGGCACACCAATGCCAGGAAGATCATAGGGCAGAGTAGACAGTCTTGGCACATGGGTTAGTTCACATCCTGAAGGATTTCCCACCCCTGGGAGCACTGCTGACTCGGGGCCAGGCTGCACCAGCAGCTCACCACAGGGTGTCTGGCATCCTTTGCCTGCCTACAGTGCAGAGTCATGAAATAACACACGGCACCTGGCTCTCTTCTTCGAGCTCCAAGCATGAACTCCAACCCAAGGAAGGCTGCAAGCTGTACCAAAGGCTTGAATCAAAGTTCACTCCGCTGCCACTCGGGACACTTGGAAAATCCGCAGGAGTTCTGAAGACCATGATGTGACAGCATCCACGCACCTGCCTGCCAAGGCTAATGGCTATCCTCAAGGTCAACTGGGTCCCAAACTGAAGATGAGGATGCATCGCGCCGGGTATCACAACGAAGCTTCAAGCAGTCGACTGCAGCCAGCTCTGCTCGCCGGAAGTGCACTAATCCGCAGCACGTGGGGTTGCCAGGG